CCGGAGGGATGGAAGGCTTGGTTGGCCCGGGCGACTCACGACCCAGGATTTGATCCCCGGACCGCTCGCGTGGTAAGCGTGCCACTTGCCACTACACCACTTCCGCCCTGCAGTGACGTTAGCTCATGGAAAGGTATTTAATAAAGGAACCGTATGTTTTGATCTGGTGTTACCCTATCTGTTTACATAATAAGGGGTATTCTCGTTCATAAATGAGTTCCATCCAAGTTCATCGGAGGGAATGAGACTCGCATCTCTTGGTTTTTGATAGGGTAGAAAGGTTGGGTTGGGTTTTTAGTGGGGTCTTTCTTTTTTTGCAACACTTTGGCACCCCTACTTCCACATTTTCCACAACATATTATCGTACTCACTGCTGCTGAGACTAAGGATTATTCAAAGGGCTAGGTCTTACATCAAAACTGTCGAGATGTCGCAGTTACTGGGAGACAGGGCTCTATTTATTAGACTTACATGAATTTTACTGCCTACAACCTAATACTTGAAAGCTGTAGGTGAAAGGATGGGTAGCATAACAGAATAATGGCGGTTAACTAACCCTTTTCATCACTTTGACCATATGCGATGTCATCGCCGGATACTGATGATAATTGAGCACTTCAACAATGAACGGACCATAATTCGCTTTGCCTTTGTTATGTATAAATGTCGGATAATGCTGAAAAAAATTCAATAAATCTAATTTTTCCTCGTGAATCGAGCCCGGAAGGCGTGTGCCCAATGAGATCAATTGCACAGGTTAGAAGAGATGGGTAGGAGTTACCCGAGGATTTCCCTGATTGCTGAGATTGACGACGGTATGACAGGAATGATCGTAGATGAGCGTCCAGAATGAGTCGATTGTGCTCTGCTTCGGCCATTCCGTCACTATAAACTCCGCTTTCCTAGTAAAACCATCAACCTGAAAATGAAATATTTAAGAAACATGATTTCCTCATAGGTTGTGAAAAAAGCTCTCATTTTCATAGATATTTGGCTGCAACTTCTTGGTTTTTTGACCATTTTCAAAGGTTGTTGTGCTGTTCGGAAAGGCTTTCTAGCTGCCATTTAAATAGTGAACTATTCTCCTAAAAGAGGACCTGGCTAAAAAGTACAAAAGCATGTTTTTCTTCCAATATTTATAAGTGGAAACCGGAGGCCTGCAAAGCGAAGAAGGACTAACCAGGAAGGTCTTTCAGGGCGTGACAAGCTTTTTGAAAACGGTCTTTTGCATGATATAGGGGCAGATGCGGGAACCACAGAACCATGTTCAATTTTTCCTGAACGGCCCTCTGAATACCAGAAAAGGAGGTCCCTAGTTCGATTCCTCGTGGTAACAAATTTTTGCATTTCGAGTTGACGTGCCAAAATTCGCGCAAAATGGAGTTAGAACCAACCAGAACAATCAGAACTCCATTTTGCGCGAATTTTGGAACGTCAACTCGAAATGCAAAAATTTGTCACCAAGAGGAATCGAACTAGGGACCCCTTTTCTGGTATTCAGAGGGCCGTTCAGGAAAAATTAAACATGGTTCTGTGGTCCCGCATCTGCCCCTATATCATGCAAAAGACCGTTTTCAAAAAGCTCGTCATGTCGACAAGTCGACGATACTTCAAGTGATATATTTGGATTATTGAATCTGTTGTTTTTGATTGATTTAAAAATATGATGTGCATTACATTTTTTCTTATGACTCATCGTTTCATGTAACTTCTTTGAGATGTTGTGGAAATTCTAGCTCGTGGGTGCCGATTATGTTGTTAGATTCTTAAAAGATATGCTCGCCATACAGTATAAAAGGAGGTGAGGAGAAGGAGCCTGGCAGTTTCTGCTCCAGCCACAAGTGCTTACAAGTTCGCCTAGAAAGAGAAAAACCACAAGTGCTCCTTCGCCTCACAAGTGGAAATTGTAGGTCGATTATTGATTTGTCATAAAGCTGTGCATCAGTACAGTGTTAGGAGCAGTGGAAAAAGTCCCGCGTGGCAGTGTGAACAAGACAAGCTATTCAGAATAGCTGGCGACAAAAGTACCCCCCCAAGTAGGAAACGAACCACCGACCGCCTTTCAGGGTGCCATCGAGCAGTAGACGAATACCAGCGTCAGGTTGGAAAATCTTCCTGGGTGAACCAAGTGCGAAGCATTTTCCTAGGTGAACAAGTGCGAAGCATTTTCGTAGGTGAACAAGTGCACTCAAGTTCTCTAATAGTCCCAAGTGCATCGTTTCTATTCTCTTAAGCCATACAAGTGCGCTTTCATAAGCTTTTTTTCTGACAATCCGTACAAGTGTGTCGGTTCCATACGCGGATATCTAACCCCTACTATGGCGTTTCAACTTACAACCCCCAAGCGTTTACTTACTATGTACTCCAATAGGTTGGAGACCGCGGTTGCTCGCTTTAAGTCAGAAAAAATTGAAGCACTCAATGTTGCCGCAGCAGATGGCGACAATCTGAACACATTCATGAGAGAAAGCATGCAAAGGCTAGAGGAAGCGATAGGGGCTTTAGAGGAGGCCGGTGGTAAGATCCGAGAACTGTTACAGGAGTATGCGGAAACCCTCAGTTCACTAGAGAACCCGCCAGAAAAAGAAACGAAAGACTTTGAGGAATACACCTCCAAGGCGGAAAAGTCACTGGTCATAGCCTTTGACTATATCGTCCTGCTCCAAGCTCGCCTAAGAGCTTTCAAGTCCTTCAAGGGTGAGTCAGGGCTAACACCCCCGACTCCAGTGCTACAAGTTCCCTCCACACCACAAAAGGTAGAGCTCCCCACGATACCAATCCCCTTTTTCAAGGGAAATATCTGGGAATGGGATAACTTTTGGGAACTTTTCAATGCGAATGTACATTCACAAGACATGCCCGCTCTCTTCAAATTCAATTACCTTTTGAATGCTCTCAAGGGAGAAGCGCTCGAATTGGTGCAGAAATTTCAAGTGACGGCAGAAAACTATCCGAATGCGATAGAATTTTTGAGGAACAAGTATGGCAACGCAGAGGAACTCGTTTTTCGACTGATCGACAAGCTCGAAAGCTGCTCTTTGCGATCGCCTGCCATACGAGATCAACGGACACTCTTTGAACAGATACAAGCCGTAGTGGAACAACTGAAAAGAAAGAACGAAGAGGTGAATAGTCAATGGCTGCTGAAAAAGATTCTGGGCAAGTTTCCACAGCACATACAACGAAAGGTGCTGATGAAAAAACAAGCAGAAAATTGCGACTTCACTATGGAAACGCTTTTGAGATATCTAGAGGATATCATTTCAAGTGAAGAGATGATCTCCATCTACGTCGGACGACCATCGTCACCGAGAACTCAGGAACGGAATGAGTATCAGAAGAAACCATTTCACAAGCCTCTTAATACTTGCATGTATTGTGGCAAAAATCACAAATCAGGAGAATGCGACAAGTACAAATCTCCACAAGAGAGATCTAACTATCTTCGGGAAAGGAAGCTTTGCCTGATTTGTGCTTCACCTCGTCATGCGACGGCTCTATGTAGGAAACCTCCTTGTTTCAAGTGCAAGAAAGCCGCATCACACCTCCTGCTGCTTCCAGTTTGAGCAAAGGCAACAAGTAGGGACAGAAGTTAAGAAGGATGGTAATCAGAATGGACGAGGTACTGTAAGGGCAAGACAAGGTCACAAGGCTGATAAAGGCACAGTGAAGGTCAACAACATAGGCCAAGAGGGTACGTCGGAAGAAGAAACAACCATCCTGGAATTACATTCAGAAAAAATCTCCGTTCAGGCACATAACACCTTTTTGCCCACGGGACAAGCAACAGTTCTTGACCCGAGCACTAAGGTCATGAGAAGGATTACGGTACTGTTGGACACAGGAGCACAAGTCTCGTTCATAGATGCCTCGTTGGCCGAAGAACTTCAGCTTCCTACGATGGCACAAGTAAGGCTGAAGATACGCACTTTCGGCACCAAAGAAGTCCGAGAAAAAGTGTGCCGTCGAGTGAAGCTTAACGTCTGGGACATCGAAGGTAAACCTCTCTCTTTGAACCTACTTACGTACGATGTTTTAACGAGTTCATTCGCTGCTCCTCCAATAAGAGAAGAAGACATCAATTTCGTTCACGCGCTAAGCCTTCCTATACTTCGCCTCGATCAGAAATCCGTTACAAAACCACTTATATTACTCGGTTGCGACCAACTGTGGCCTTTGATCCATAACGATCAACCTCATTTGGAATTGCCTTCGGGGCTACACCTTTTACCGACCAGGCTTGGCCACCTCTTAACCGGCCAGCTTCAGGACGGCCAAAAACAAGACGAAGATTACTGGAGCATGGAAGAACACCAAATTAACACGCTCACTCAGCCGTGTGAAGCAACCCAGGAGAACGAACTGTGGGAAAAATACTGGGAATTAGAAAAAGCAGGAGCTGAAGAATTTGTGGGCTCTGAAAGACAAATCCAGGCTCAAGAAGATCAACAAGTCTGGGAAACGTTCAACCGGACTATAGAAAAGAGAACTGATGGATATTATGTTCGCCTCCCATGGAAAAATGTATCAGCCACACTCCCGAGCAATAGAGTTATTGCCTTTCGCAGGTTGGTGAGCTTGTGGAACTCACTGCAACAGGATACCGACCTTTTGAAAAGGTACAATGAAACATTTCAAGAGCAACTTGACCTCAACATCCTTGAGGATGTTCAGGAGGATGCATCTCCAAGTGGTCCAAAGCGGACATACTATTTACTATTACCGGCACCAAGCAGTTTCTGACCCCGCACAAGACGACCACGAAATTACGCATCGTATATGATGCCTCAGCACACCACAAAGGATGCCCCTCCTTGAATGACGTTTTACATCGAGGACCAGTAATTCTGCCAGAACTCTATGGAATCTTGCTACGTTTTCGTATAGGGCGGATTGGAATTATTTCGGACGTAGAAAAGGCATTTCTACAAGTGAGACTTCATGAAGCAGATCGCGACGCCACGCGCTGTCTTTGGCTACACGATTACAAGTTGCCCCCATCTCCTAAGAACATCCGGGTTCTTCGATTCACAAGAGTTACTTTCGGAATTAATTCCTCTCCATTCCTTCTTGCAGGAACAACCCATTACCATTTGAACCAGTACGAAAAGGATGCCAAACTTGTTGCGGACATCAAAGGAAACCTGTATGTTGACAACTTGGTTCTAAGTGTGGACACCTTTGAGGAGGCCTTGGATAGTTATTCGAAAACGAAAACAATTTTCAATGATCTAAATATGAATCATCCGCGAATTTCGTCTCTAACGATACCAAACTGAGAGATCACATGGCGGAAAAAGACAAGTCCGTGAACACCTGCCCCAAGGTTCTAGGGATTTTATGGTCATCCGTGGCAGATACATTGGAAATTTCCTGCCATCCCCGAGAAACGGAGAAGGTTACCAAACGTGCAGTGGCAAGTGCACTAGCGTCAGTGTATGACCCCCTCGGCTGGCTCGTTCCATTGCTGCATCGAAGCAAGATCTTCCTTCGGACTCTTTGGAAGGATCAGTACGACTGGGATACTGTACTTCCACAGAGGCTTGAAAACGAGTGGCGTCAAATATGTAAGGATATAGAAGGTTTCAAAAAAGCCATTCCTAGATTCCTTGCAGAGAAGACAACAATCGGAAGCCTGGCATACTAAGTGACTTCTGCCGCATGCTAGTACTGAAGCCATGGCAAGTTGTGTCTATTTACGGTCAGCTGATAACTGCCACATTCTCATGGCAAAAAGCAAATTACCATCTCTCAAGGCACAACCAACGACCCCAAAAATGGAACTAGATGCCATGACCTTAGCCATGAGCAAGACAGCTTAATTCAAATGTTGTCTCAAATCTGCGACAGTGCTAAAATCCCCAACCAAGTATTGCTTTAACAGATTCGGAGATTGTGCTTAGCTGGATAAAGTCACGACCATTGCAAAAAGTGAGCGTTATGATCTTCAACAGGCTCAATGAGATCGAGAAGATAACAAGTCACCTGGAAAGTTTGGGAGTTCAAGTTTGTTTCGGCCATATACCATCTCAACTTCAACGCAGCAGATTGTGCAACTAGAGGAC